GGATTCTTGTAGGCGCTCTCTTCGGTGCTGGCATTTGTACACCTATTGGGTTAACCATGCAAGCACTGGGGCATTTTATTCCATATGAAAAAGTGTTGAAAGATGAAATAGCTGTACAAAATTCCAAGAAGAAACAGCAGTTGGAAGTGACAGAAAAGATTTTGTATAGAATGGAAAACGAATACGAAATATTAAAATGTCTGTTGAGGAGTAATTAGGGTCTTTTCGAACATCTTCAATGTGTTTTATGATGTGTTTATGTAGAGATCGGGCATTGAGGTAACAAATTTTCAGATCGGAGTGATCTAACATGTACAAAGGTGTGAAACAAAGTTTCAAGCAATGTTCTGTTCTTAACATTTCCATTTCTTTTATAACTCTTTGATCAACAGATATTTTATCCTCACATAAGTCAGTGATATTTAACAAATATAAAACAATTTCCGTGTTGATATACAGTTATATCAACACGAGTGGAATTGGGAAAACGAGAAATTGTATGGAAACACGACGCCCGAAGGGCGGAGTGTTTTCATGTCGCTTTCTTCTCAAAATATAAAGCACTAAAAGCCGAAACCCAACTTGCAAAACTTGCAACCTGCGAAGGTTTTTGTTTCCATGCACTGTTTCCATGTCGAAATTCCTTTACTTGTAAAATTGTTCAATTTTCCCGAATTTTCCTTAAAATGCAGGGTAATTTATGGATAATTTGGGTAAAAATTTAACTGAAGCCATTATGTTAGACTTACATGAATTACCCAGCGGTTTGTGTCCATCCAAGAACACGAACAATGCCGAATTTAATACTCGTCCTGCGGCTAAAGGCCTAGCACGAGTAAAAATGAACAAAAAATAGTAACTTACCGCTTCTTCGACTCATCTATCGCAAAATTTAGAGTATATTTTGAGACTTTTAATGAGTTGGTCGCAGGTCACTTCCCACAGCAAAGTTGTTTTGGTTTCTGAGTTTCCGACGAAATACCGAACTTTCGATCGCCAAACTGTCGTACTTACTTCGGCTTATCGACCCATTGTATATTATAGCTCAGTGTATCAACCTCGCGCCCAGTGCCCTTTCGTAGATAACCAAATTCGGCGGACAGACATCGCGCGCTTATCATCGCTCATCGTTTTTTTCGTATATGATAGTGGGTAGCCCGCGAACGGGCTACCCACAAAAACGCAGTACACAATGGAATACTTTATTATCAGTTACCACCAGTTTATTACTGCCCCATTACTTGAATTACTTTCGGCAAACCTAGTTAGTCTTTCCATTCTTACCATTTTTACCAATTTTGCATGAACACTTTTTCAAAATTCAAAAAAGTGGCCACTTTTTAGAAAAAAACCTTTTAGTCTAACTTGGAAAAATCTAAGTTCTAATACGCGAAATTTTATACGTTGTTGTGCCCATCTCTTCTGGCGTAGTTTTCATTTGACCTTCACAGTGATTGGCTGCACAAAAGGAATAAAGCAATTCAAATATACGGAAAGAAAACTAAAGTACTATTCAAATGAGTAAGTTGTAATGTAATTGTACTCGAAACCACACCGTTATTAGCTACAGGTCATTAGGGTATTAGCCGCTTTTCTTGCCACACGAAGCTATTTAATAAGGTGACCAATCATTGCACATTAACGGTCAAATTGTACTTTTTGCAAAATTACCTTATTGCAATAAGGACATTCTCCAAAAATTATGTTAAAACTTTGTCTGCTTGAGGGCAATGCTCGTAGCCACTATAAATAACATTAAATATATTCTTCAATGGATGCATGTGAAAGAACAAATCAAAACTTCACTATCTAGGGATGGATACAGTCAGATTTGATGGGGGTGGGGAACCTTGTTTCGGAGGGATTAAGCTTTGGGCCTAAAGCAGAATATTACCGTCATCAACCTTGTCACAAGGTGATAACAACTTGTTCCAGACTTGTCACAACAACCGGAAACAAGCAGTGCGTACATATTCTGATTTTGGGTTGACAACAACCTTGCAGGGACGTCGCTATAGGGGGGGGGGGGGTGTGGGGGGAACACCCCCGCCCCATTAATTCAAACGTTGGTCAAAGTTGGTCAAAATGGAAGTGATATTTGCCTAAAGTTGGTCAAAATGGAACTGATAGGTAAAGGTAAAACTGGGAAAAATTTGGTCAAAGTTTGGGATAAAAGATGGTCGAATTTGCCGAAAGTTATGAAATGGTTCGTAATTTTAACAATTTTAAAGCTTTTGTTATGTTTGCGGTGAAAAAAATGGAAGCGTTGCTTATATCGGTCGAAAAAATTTCGAATTTGACTATGATTATGTTAGTCCGAAAAATTTTTTGACTATGCTTATGTTAGTCCGAATTTTTTTTTTACCACGACCTCCCCCCACCCTGGTCAAACTTGGTCAAAATCCTAGGAAATGTGAGGAAATGTTAGTCAAAACATGACGACAAAAATGTTGATGCCTTCGCGACGTCCCTGCAACCTTGTTACAACTTGTTTTCAGATCTGTAACAACCGTTGCGCGTGTGTACGAAACAAACCCCAGACACACGTAATGAAGAATCCATTACAGACACGTGTACTCACCTCATACAGGCAGCTTGTATGGAAAGGTTGTCCACAGCGAGGATCATCACATGCACTCTCTGGGATTGCATTATCCAGTCTGTATGCGTAACATATACCACATTCTAGACTGAAGTCCTAGGGAGAGAGAACATCAATTCAGTCTTATTTCACTCAAATTTACCGATGGATATAGCTCTATCAGTTACTGAAACAGTTGAAACCATTGTTAAAAGTTGAAAATTTACCATTGTTAAAAGTTGAAAATTTTCAACTTCAAAATTTTTTTCCCGCGGAAAATTTGTATTGGCCAATCACATGGTGTTAATGGTGCCACCAAACAATATTTTCGTATTTATACTTGTCATGCTAAATTGCAAGTATACATGCATATACCTCTTTCTTAGTTGTTTGACGCGAAGGGAATTTGGTTTCTAACAGCTTTTCTAAGTTCTCCAGAACTGGTATTTCAGGGTCCCTAACAATGCAAGAGAAAGGCAATTTTTTATTTATTTAAAATACTGTACTTTGCCGCATTACCATAAATTATGTTATACCAAAATTATGTTAGTTAAAAATTCACCATTGATGAAGATTCTTGTTCATGTTTTCTCTTAGTTTCATTACGACTAAGAATAAAAAATATATATATAGTAATATTACATAAGCTCTTTTGTCTTCATAAGACAACGTTCACACCCGTTGTTTTTTTTATTAATGCCCAGTCAAACGAGGTCTCATGATGACGAGAATTGATAATCGTGAGTTGACCGCCAACTCTCATACATTCTCATCAACTTTGAGCTCGTTCAAATTTTGATGAGAATTGACGAGAATTTTCGCTGCATGTGCGGTCTCATCAACTTTCATGCAATTCTTGCTCTCGTTTGACCGAGGCATGAGCAACCTCGTCCCCCGTGCCTTCGTAGAGTTGATTGTGTTAGGGAGTTGATTTAATATGTTAACTATTCTATTAACCAATAATTCCAGGTTAATAATCCATCTAACATAATCTGGTCAATTCAACCATATAGCCCGGTTAAATTAACCAGGAATCCGGGTTAAATTAGCCACGATAGTGATCAACCAATTCTTGGGTTTCATATGACGTCACAACAAAAGTGACGGGGGGTCAGCTCTAAAACAAGACACAGTTATCAGTGTGAGTCGATTGTTCGTTTTATGTATTAGCCTTGTGTTTGGTGGCAAATACATGGAATTTCGTATCATTTTCTCACTCCAGTACAGCATAAGCATCAATACATTTGAGGTTGAGCCCCCATCAGATTCACTGCATAATGCCCTAGTGAAACCCAATAATACTGTGGTTAAATTAAGCAGGAAATTTAACCAGGAACAACAAATTACCCCAATCCGCAATCGTACAGTGTTAATTTTACATTAACTAGGGATTTTCTAGAGTGTAATTGATAATACTGACTACTGTCTGCTCCCATGAGGTGACATTCAGGCATCATTTTAGGATGTTGTACATTGATCCTGACAAGAAGTGATGTGTTGTTTCCTAAAACCAACACAAATAACGTTATCTCTGATTGAAATTTAGAGCATTCAGGAGCGATCACTGAAGATGCAAAGAATAGGTCAGAGCAAAATTGGTCAGAGCCTTATTAGAAAATGTCTTCCGAAGAAACGTTTTGTCGACTTCAAGCGTACCGTACCGAAACGTATCAAAAAATTTTAAAATTTCAAAATACGAGAATACACCCGGAATTACGTCAATTTATCATGCTCACCAGTAGGCAGTACGTTTCGGTACGGGCGAAGTGGAAAACGGCCTTTAGCTCGAACGACGAAACGCATAGGCGTACCGGGCGGGGGGCGGTAGCAGTCGGGCAATATTCGATCAACAGTCGGGCAATTTTGGTTTGCAATAAAAAAAATTGGACAAATTATGTCAATTTTGTCTAAAATCAAGTTAATTTTGTGGCCAATTTTGCGATTTTTCGAAAATTTGTGTTATGTTGGGAAAAAATTGTATGTCCGGAAAATTTTTTTGACCCCTAAAATGGTACACTGACCGAAAAATTTTTGGCGACGGGGGGGTGGGGGGGGGGAAGGTCGCCAAAATAATTTTTCCGGAAAACAATTTTTGGTACTAATCGGGCAGAATCCCGAAAAGTTGGGCAATTTTCTTTCCGCCCCCTAATTTTTTCCTTCCGGTACGCCCATGACGAAACGTCAGAGTTTTTAGATAAAACGTCGGGAGTCCTTCGGTTGATCCTGAGGCAACCGGTTGTTGGATCTATTTAAGATGATGTTGGACAAGATGTTGGATCAGGGCCCGTCCATCTAACATGGTCAAGTTAATTTAACCAGTAAGTCCTGGTCAAATCAACTAGGCAATAGGTTAAAATAACCAGCCGGAAAAGGTTAAAATAACCAGGTGTATTAAGTTACCCAAACAGGGTTATTTCTAGGTTAACCAGAATGTTTAGCCAGGAATTTTAATAACCTGCAGGGGCCGGTTGCGTAACCCTTGGTTAACTTAAAATTCAAAGCAAACTTCCCAAGAACTTGTTTATAAATTTGGAAATATTTCTTCAGAGATCTTGTCTGAATCAGTAGGAGTTCTCCTCTGTGATCATGAAGTTTTAAAATAAACAGACTTGCAGAAATACATAAACTGAAACAGCAGATTAAATTTTAACCCAGAGTTAGTGCTAATCCACCTTTGAACAACCGGCCCTGCAGAGTGTGTTAAGAGTGCAGTCCTTAATTTCGTTTTCGAAATATTGACGTCATCTGACAAATTATGTAAATAGAGGTTTTGTCTAGGAAATGATGTAGTCTTCTTAGAACGGCTTTGTACTTTCGATCTTTCTGATGGCGAATTATCGTGTTATCGTGATTGCTTTCAGTGTAATGGTTTGCAACAATGTTAGTCTTGTTCAATGCGACGAATGTAAAACCAACGCGGATTGCAAGAACTACTATTATTCTCAATCAAAGTGCTGTGGTGGTTATTACTTTCATTCTCTAAGCGATACTCAGCGAAGTTGCACGTACGCCGATTCGTGTCTGTATCACTATTGCTCAAGCGACAGTGATTGTGGCGATTCATCAATGTGTTGCCGTTCTAACGAATGTGTCAACAAGGGTTGTTCAGGATGTACCAAAAATACAGACTGCGATACAAGCCTAAGCCATGTCTGTTGCAAGAAGACATTTCCTCTCGATCAAACTGTGTGCGCTGAGAAATGTATCAACAAAGCTTGCAACTCGAACGACGACTGTGCTGGGAGTGGAGAGTGTTGCCGATCAGGGAAGTGTACCAGCACAGGTTGTAGCGACAAGTGTAAGTCGAATTCAGAGTGTAATTCAGATCAATATTGTTGCAGGAAGGCAGACACAACAACGTCCTGGGCCAGCTTGAAGACAGAGACTGGTTGTGCTCAAACTTGTGTTGGCAAGCTATGCAGCACGACCAATGACTGTGGGGCAGCCAATGAATGCTGTATTTCTAACAAATGTGTTGATCAGGGTTGCTCGGGATGTACAACAAACTCAAACTGCAGTACCGGACAGTATTGTTGTAAGAAAAAACAGTGGTACGAGCTGAGCGAGTGTAGTGCGGACTGTATTGGAAAATCTTGTGGTACAAGCAATGATTGCGGTGGCCCAGGTGAGACTTGTGATTCGGATCACAGATGTATGAATATGCCTGCAAATAAACCGACGACTACGCCTGTGAATAAATCCACGAATATGCCTCTCCCATCATGGCTGATTGCTGTTATCACTGCAAGTCTAGTTGTATTCCTTATTGCTGTTGGAGTATTACTAGCCGTGTTTTGGTATATCAAGAGCAAGCGAGCAGCAAATGCAAGTCAAGCGGGAACTGTGCCTCTACTCAACACTCAATACCAAGGCGTTCAGACACCACAACCAAACACCCAGTTTTCTGGTGCTACCAATCCAACATACCATGAAACTACAAGTCAAAATCAACCTGGCCAAACGCCACAAACCAACGACGTTGCTTATCAACCCCCCAATTCTACTTACTACCCTCAGGAATTCCAGAATGGAGCGCAGAATCAGTTCCACAATCCACCACACAACACTGCCTATCAACCTCTCGAAACCCCCAGTGCACCTCAATTAGACACCAGCAGTGGTGGCCAGCAAATGTATCCACAGAATACCCCTTACCAAGGCAACAATTACCTCCATAGTCCCCCAGCATATAGCCCACTATTTCATGGCAATCATTGAATGGATTCACACACTATTTTGTAAACAATTTCAAGATTCTTATATTAAACTTAATCAAAAACTCTGTTGTAGGGGAGGTAGTTTCTAACTTCTAAAAACCTAGATTGTATTCAAGAGATTAAAATTTTACATTTGACAAAGTAGTTAAGCAACGCTTAAATAGTTTTTTTTGTGTGAACTTTTTGTGTGTAATTTAATTGCAATAGTTTTCATGATTTACTTTCGTTTTCGAAATATTGACGTCATCTGAGAAATTATGTAAATAAGCTTTGTCTAGGAAATGACACAGTCTTCGAAACGGCTTTGTGCTTTCGATCTTTCTCACTCAACTGAAGTGACAAATCGTTCATGATGGCAAATTATCGTGTTATCGTGATTGCTTTCAGTGTATTGGTTTGCAACAGTATTAGTCTTGTTCAATGCGACCAATGTAAAACCAACGCGGATTGCAAGAGCTACTATTATTCTCAATCAATGAAGTGCTGCGGTGGTAATTACTATCATTCAGGAAGCGATACTCAGCGCAGTTGCACGTACGCCGATTCGTGTCTGTATCACTATTGCTCAAGCGACAGTGATTGTGGCGATTCATCAATGTGTTGCCGTTCTAACGAATGTGTCAACAAGGGTTGTTCAGGATGTACCGAAAATACAGACTGCGATACAAGCCGAAGCCATGTCTGTTGCAAGAAGACATTTCCTTTCGATCAAACTGTGTGTGCTGCGAATTGTATCAACAAAGCTTGCAACTCAAACGACGACTGTGCTAAGTATGGAGAGTGTTGTCGATCGGGAAAGTGTACCAGCACAGGTTGTAGCGACAAGTGTAAGTCGAATTCAGAGTGTAATTCAGATCAATATTGTTGCAGGAAGGCAGACACAACAACGTCCTGGGGCTGGAGTAGAGAGACTGGTTGTGCTCAAACTTGTGTTGGCAAGCTATGCAGCACGACCGATGACTGTGGGGCAGCCAATGAATGCTGTATTTCTAACAAATGTGTTGATCAGGGTTGCTCGGGATGTACAACAAACTCAAACTGCAGCACCGGACAGTATTGTTGTAAGAAAAAACAGTGGTATGAGCTGAGCGAGTGTAGTGCAGACTGTATTGGAAAATCTTGTGGTACAAGCGATGATTGCGGTGGCCCGGGCGAGACTTGTAATTCGGATCACAGATGTACGAAGTCTTTCCCACCATGGCTGATTGCTGTTATCACTGCAAGTCTAGTTGTATTCCTTATTGCTGTTGGAGTATTACTGATCGTGTTGTGGAATATCAAAAGGAAGCGAGCAGCAAATACAAGTCAAGCGGGAACTGTACCTCTACTCAACACTCGATACCAAGGGCAAGGGCAAGGCGTTCAGACACCACAACCAAACACCCAGTTTTCCGGCATTGCCAATCCAACATACCATGAAACTACAGGTCAAAATGAAACTACAGGTCAAAATCAACCTGGCCAAACACCACAAACCAATGACATTGCTTATCAACCCCCCAATTCTACTTACTACCCTCAGGAATTCCAGAATGGAGCACAGAATCAGTTCCAGAATCCACTACACAACACTACCTATCAACCTCTCGAAACCCCCAGTGCACCTCAATTAGACACCAGCAGTGGCCACCAAATGTATCCACAGAATACCCCATACCAAGGCAACAATTACCTCCATAATCCTCCAGCATATAACTCACTATTTCATGGCAATCATTGAATGGAATTATACACTATTTTGTAAACAATTTCAAGATTCTTATATTAAACTTAATCAATACCTCTATCGTAGGGGAGGTAGTTTCTAACTTGTAAAAACCTAAAATGTGTTCAAGGGATTAATTTAAACATTCCACATTTGAGAAAGTAATTAAGCAACATTTAAATAGTTTTCTGTGTGAAGTTTTTGTGTATAATTTGCAATAGTTTTCATGATTTATGAAGTAAAACTAAAACGTGTTGGTTCATGCATGTTATTTACTGATGTTTTACAGTAAAATAATGGTCCATCCCTTTGGGAGCGACTCAGCTTATTCGGGATGACTAACCACACCACCCGGTAAGCCAGATTATATCCAGATACTGCAAGCTAATATAAACACAATAATATGTAATAATAATATAAAGCCCTGTTTAAACGGATCCAACATTGTTGGGCCAACATCATCCAACATTGTTGAAATAATGGCCCAAACGGCTTCTTTTTCAAATATTTTTGTCAAGACTAGGTTTAGAGTTTGAGTAAAGCTTATCTAACCAGAAAGATTTGAAAGAGAAGCAGTCATATCTATTATAGTAACATTGTTGGATGATGTTGGTCCAACAATGTTGGATCCGTTTAAACAGGCCTTAATATGTAGCTTACAGTGATATAAACTCGAACTTCACTATAACTTCCCGACTAAGGGACTTCACTCAAAACGTCAAAGTTTTACTGGTATTTTCAGGTAGTTGAAATCCTTATCCATCTCAATTTTCAAGCTATGCAGTACATATATAACCAACCTTAACATAATGGTGTATGCAAAATCCTCACCTAAAGCAACTCGTCTTGAGGCATCAGCTCTAGTGGGATGTTCTGGTTCAAGAATCCAGCAGTTCTGGTCTATTTCATCCATCACATTCCAAAATAATTCATGCGACGAAATAATCTAATGGATCAAAATTATTAAATATCTTTCAAAATTATAAATAAAAAGCAAATTTGTTTTAATTCAATGAGAGTTATTTGTTTAATTAACTTGATTTCTTTACCTCACAAAATTCATTATAAATGCATTCCAGCAATCGACCCTATAAATTAATTTTAATCTTTAACTCAAAGACTTGCATTGCATCCTTGTGTGTGCTACTTTATCGTTATACTGTCTAACACCAGACAATTTTACTCATTAAACCAACTAAACTCACCTCTGTTATCTTTGAGCCTTTAAAATGAAATGGCTCAGGGACATCAGCTGAACATTTGGGCAGAATGTCTGGATACTGTATCAATATACATACAAAGATCACGGTTAAATATCAGATTTATGAACATGGTTTAATAAGCAATTAAAGTGGAATAAAGTTTATAATGCTAGAAAATGTCAAGCATGCTGGATATGAAAACTTTACAGAGTAATTACAGAAGTTGAATTATTTAATGAAAGAAAAAGACAACTGAGCACCAGTACCTCAGCTGAAACATGAACTGTAACAATATGTTCACGATCCCTTGCATCTCTGACATAATTCAAACAATACGGTACACAGAAAAGTAAATATAATTTAAAAATTAACATTTTTAAACTTGGGTGTGGCATTTCAGTGTGTAGTTAGTGGTGCAATATATAATCTTTGCTTGAAACATCAAAGTTCTTGTTATATTTTTTAGGTAGTTTGATGTTATTATGTACGAGTCAAATCCAACCGCAATCAGCCCCCCCCCCCCAGCAACCCCAGGGCATTTGACTTAACATTACCCCCGTATCAGCGGTTTTCCCTAAAAATATATGTACATTCTAGTGCTTCATGAGTTTTCTATTTTGCGTCACAAATATCAATCATAGATATATGATATAATATGCCCGGTTGAACAAAATAAGAACTGTCTGGCCTATTTTTCGTTCTTTTTAATCTTGAAATACTTGTTAAATTTAATTTTAGCCAAAATTCCAGAACCAGGACTACACCTATAGCAGGGCATTTGACCGTGGTTTCTGCCTGTTCGGGCGGGCATTTGACCAATTATTTTTTCAAAAGTCAAATTCCCCGGAGGTTGCCCAGGGGGGGCCTGCTCGCGGTTGGATTTGACTCGTACATTAAATCAATGCATAATTCTGTTATACAAAGAAATAAAATTACCTCATCTTCAGTTTAATTATGTTGAATGACTCATTGGTATACGCAAGCCTAAAATAAAATAAAATATGAAGATTAAAATTCGATAACACAAACTCACATCAAAGATTAGAACTACATCACCTACTTGTGCCAACCAATGTGCTCTAGTTCACTGATTAACAAGGAATATGTGTCCAGAGGCAATGATAGCTGTCCAGTATCATCCTGCTTACATTTTACTAACTTCTCCTGTTAATTAAATACAATAACAAAATCTTATGCAGCTTAATCTGTAATAACAACCTACTGCTACTATTGAATAATTGACTAAAGGCCAGTTCAAATGAACATATTGACTTAATTCGCTTGAACAATGTGTTGGGTAATGTTGGATTGGGATTGATACATACCACTAGATTTTTGAATTCCACAAGAAATGAAGCAAGATTTTCACTCTGGTGCAATCTCTATAAAATGATAAATAAAGCAAATAAAATATATTAAAATATTAACAGATTGCAATTTCTGGCTCACCTGTTTAATAACATCTTGATAATGATGCAATATATTCCATAATCTCCAGCTACAACTTATACTGTATATGGAAAAGAAAATTTATGATTAATAATTTATAGGGGAAAGAAAGGGTTATACATTTGGGAGGGGGGTTATATGTTGGGGGAGGGGTTTATACATTGGAGGAGAGGGGACGTAATACATTGGGAGAAGGGGTTACATACATTGGGGGAGGGGAGGGGGTTATACATTGGGGGAGGGGAGGTGAGTTTAAAAATTGGGGGGTTATACGTTGGGGGAGGGACGTGGGTTATAACAAATGTTCACAGGATGTGTTACAATCTCGTACCCAGAGCAATGCCTGTGCGCGGGCTAGGATGGCATTGGCTCTGGGGAAATTGAATTTTTCCTGTGCTGTGATTGGTTTAATGTTTTTCAAACGTGCATGCCGACAAAGAACCGGAACCCCTACATTTAGGGGTTCTGGTTGTCAATTCCCCCAGAGCCAATGCCTACGAGATTGGATGTGTTATTGATAATTGTGAATATAACATCACATTGATATACATACCTGGCATCCTTTAATGACCCTACATTTGGCTGTACTATTGACACTCTGAACGTCTGTTCCTAAATTATCCAGTTTAAAAATATATTTACTATAAATATTAAATTTTCAAATAGAAAATCTTGCCCCATAGACTCTAGCTTGACCATTAATTAACCTTGTTTACATTTTTGGGCAAGCAAATCCATTACACAGTACATTTTATTCTCCATTGTGATTCCTCTTTTGGGAGCATTCAAAACCTTTGCTGTTTTGCTTGCCAGGAAAAGGCACGGGCTGTACAAAGCAAATTAAGGGCCGGTCTACCAATTTAATATATCATCGTGGTATTAAAACTTGCACTTACATTTATTTCAATAAATCCATCATATGTCAATCCATTTTTGTCTTGTGGCAACAGCAAAGGACAAATAGAAAACAAAGCTTCGTTCTGCATGCAAGGAATAAGCCAAAAAAGCAAAAGAAGCAATACAATTTTCGAAAACCTTTAAATTTTAAATACCCAACATGGCGGCATTTCCCGCCAAAACTAATTTTGGATAACATCGGGCGAGGAACAATGAAAAATATGAAATAATTTCTTAAAGAAGCTGACAAGCTAGAAAATATTTAAAAAATAGATATCCATTATTAAAATAAGCTGAAATGTAGTAAAACTAATACGATGTATTCCATCTTTAAAATTATTAAAAATTAAAATTCTCTAAAATACGGAACTTGGCAGCTCTCGAGTGATGTTATTTAAACCTTCTTTAAAAATTAAATTCGTAATCGTGACTGACAAATATTTTAAAGATGGCGGACGCATTAACAGTGTGTGCTGCTTTGATGGTTTTTATTGGCTTTAGTTTTCTTTTCTGGTTTATAAGACGGCTTGGAATTTTACAACTTGAAGCGGCCATGATGCAAGACCATTTTCAAACGCCGAAAGCAGATCCTCAACCTATGGTTGAAGTAAAAAATCCATTTAAAATGACCGTATCTTCTTCATGTACTTTGGGTAAATTTGTACAAATTATTAAATTTATTAAATAGCACGTAATAGAATTTATGCAAAATAGTGCCGTCCAGTCATATTAAATTAAGAAATGGGAATGACGGTATTAACCATTAGTTTTTGACTTTTTGTTGTTTTGAAAATCCCACTATTTTCCATATAGAATACGTCTAATACCCCAGATAACAAGACTACAGCCTAGTTGAGTAGTTTCTATATGCTAGGATGTTTAAACACCGACAGACATCCAGTCATGTGATTCAGACTGGAAACTTTGCAGTGCCCACAGAAGATCTTCTGTGCGCATGCAAAAATTCACATGCACAAAATTATATCTTCAGCAATTAGTGTCAAGTGCACACTTGGCCTGTAAAAAATAAAGTATTAAGGATTAGTAATAAATTCCCAATGTTATTTTTGCAAGGTTGTGTTGAGATGATAGTGAATTGCATGCATCCATGTCATATCACTTGCTACTGGAAGATAAAAAAGCAATATCTGGATCAAATGGTTTATCAAAGGTATTTTAATCATTAAATAAAGCATTTGTTTTAGATTATTGTCAAAATGCAGTAGGAAATCAGAATCAGTAAAAATGTGTTTGAAATATTTGTATGCATGAGAGCCAAGCACACTCCCCTTGACGAGTAACATTATAATCTGGTGTTAGATAGAGTACAAAATAAAGCAGGGTGCATTGAAGTGCAATGCATTGAAGTGCAATGCAACTTAATGGGTTAACTTAATATAGACACATGGGCCAATATAATCAACCAATATAATTACCTGTAAAACTTAACATTAAGAATACATTTTGCAGCAATTCTGAAGATGAAAACGAAGAGGCTGGTGCAGCCAATGTCAATAACTTGCAGATAATGCTTGAGGAAAACTGTGAAACAATAGTCAGTAAAGATTTGTATCTTTCAACTATTAAATAACCACAATCAACACGGCTGTTTGCTAAGTTTGCCAGTGTTGTAAGATTTTAGTCATGTGCTTACTAAACTGCTAGACATTTTAGGTAGACAAGTGTCCTATTCATGTCTTGCAGTCATGCCTGAATATTGGAAGGTATTATGAACGGCAGAGACAGAGGAAACCTCTGTCTATATTCACCACATGTCCCTGGATGGCTCTTGGACTGTTGAAAGCCCCTTCATTTGTATACATGATCGCAATATATTAACCCCTCCTAGAAACCTAGATCCTGACAACCTACTTGAAAGGTACCCTACTGGATGGTGCCCTCCCACTACTTTTGAAGATGATTTCACTAAGTATGCTTCATGTACAAAACAATAGTACCAGAGTAATAATTACATGATCCTTAATACCAAATCAGTACAGATATTTGTTCAGGGAAAAAGCTATCTTACAACGTTGAGGATCTTATGAAAGACCCCTCTGCTCAGAGAGATGCCACAAATGCAATTCAGCTCTATGATGTGGTAGTCACCATGGAACTAACCAAGGAACACAGGAAAACAATAGAGTCACCATCTAGCATTGTATGTAATTAAACTAAATGTGTCGTATTGATTGAGAAAGATATTTATATGGGATAATTAAATTCTCTATTAAAAATTCATGAACATTTGAATTACCTAACCATCATCTTTATTGCATGTAATATTCCACCCAACATTGCATGGACCCCAAGTTTGAAATAGTAACTAATTGCAAATTATTCTACTTCTAGACAGCCATGTTGACTGGAATTGAACTAAAAAGACAAAATGAGAACTGGAAACCATACGTTGTTCAACAATTTATCCGAACTAACAATGGCAATCTTTTCAAATTAAAGGTATCAATATAACATCCACCAATAACTCATAATTACTGTGCAATCAAATGGCCTAATTAAGGGTATGACTTTCCCCCCCCCCGAGGCCAATGATTTACATGAATTTATTAATTAAAGAGTTCATGAAATAATACTTAATTTCTCATTTTAATACTTTTTCAGAAATTATTCCTAGAAGAACTGACCAATCACGATGAATCTCCAAGTGCCCAAGAACAAAGCGATAGTTTATGCATTGTTTGTCAGATGTTGCCAATCTCGCGGGCTCTCATCCCTTGTGGGCATGCTTGTTTGTGCTCACTCTGTTTTGACAAGATGAACACGTGCCCGATGTGTCGTCAGCCAATGACGTCATCATTTATATTACGAGAGGAACCAAATTTGAACCAGAACAATGAATATGAGTTTAGTGACATTTTAAAACGAATGAACCCATTGGAAATAATAAGAGGAATATACAACGCCTCGTAATAAATAAAAAGTTATCCAAGGAATAATAATTTAGTTGTAGATTAGTAACTACAGTCGAACCCCCAAGGGAACCAAAAAATTGTTTGAGTAGCAGTACCTATCAGCTTGTAGAACCTTTTACTACGTCTGTATATATTATATATATACAGGTCACATATTGATGCACATGTTGTACATCTGTTTTGATACTACTTTTGGTGTATCTTTTGTGCATTTTCCTAATAGCCTGAGTGAGTAAACAGCCGCCTATTATTGTTCGTTCCTCCCTAATAGGTGGCTGTTTACTCAGGCTACACCTTACATAGCCAAAGTGAGCTACTTTCCAGATGGGTATATTCTGATAAAGCCAAACTAAGAACTTTCCTCCTTTGACGATTAAAGCAAGCTTTTAATAGACAAGAATATTTTCTCATCAACTATCGTCAAAAAAAAGAAACAAAACAGAAAAAATATAAAAATATAAAGCTTTGTACCTTTCGTATCAGTACTAGAAACCAACGGCGGTGCGAGCTCTTGGTTAATTGACGCAGGGCGCTATAAAACACTTTATATTTTATAAAACACTTTGTGTTTTATAGCGCCCTGATTGACGGTGTAGATTTCACTTCGCAATTCGCATTTATCTTTTCCAGTCGATTCATCGTCTTGGCTAGACATACTCTTTAAAATTCAACCTTAGACACAGCCTTAGACAAGCAAATACATGTGAAGAATATATATTTACTTGAATATTTTCACTGTAAAAACGAGGCGCAAATATGAATTTGTTTTGTGTACAAATTTGATTATTTGAAATTTCTGAGCCGTCTCGCAAATGTCTCGAACTCGCGGGGCAGGCGCGAATTTTCCTGTGTCCTGATTGGATGATACCGACGCATGCGCGTCGTCTATCCGAGTCGCGCATGCGTTCACTTCAAAGATTCGGTAAATACTCGCTAAAGCGTCCCACATGCACCAGACTGGGCAACTGTAACGTACTTATATACCGAACTGTTACTATTACTTGTGTGTGGTAGTTACCGATCATAGGATCTTGCGAAAAGGATGCCAGGCATAATGGTCTGGGGGCCGCCGGCACCCTCCCCCGTAGTTCGTTCGATACCGGTTGGTAAGCCACCTATTCACTCGCCTCTGACGATAGCGTTGCGTTTAGCCGAAATCTAGCTTAAACGTTAACATACGGCGTTCTAGCGGCTAGCACGAGACGGACTTGACCGATACGAGCTAGCAGAGTCGGGAAGTATGGACTGATGAGGCACTTTTCTTTTTAAAAATTACATTTGTAATTTACCCTTTGGATAAACAGATCTTCTAATTTACCGATCAATTCAATTGCGACTAAAAAAGTTAGCATACAGTGCCAGTGTGCTTTGTGCTTTTTATCTAACTTATAAAAATCTAAAATGTATCTTTTTAAAAACACGATTAAAAGCCTAAATTAAACTATTCTACTATGGGGCACTTTTCTTTTAAAATTTTTATTTGTAATTTACCCTCGGCCTCGGATAAAACAGATCTTCTATAAATTTACCGATCAATTGAATTGCGACTAAAAAAGTTAGCTGTGTTTTGTGCTTTTTATCTGACTTATTAGAATCTAAAAATGTATCTTTAATACTTGTTTATGTCATATCAAATTTAAAAACACGATTAAAAACCTAAATTAGACTATTTTAATTAATTATGTTCTATTTCGCAAGAGGAAAGAGCCTGGGAACTATTTCGCCGTTTTGTAGGTACCCGTCTACTTTCTGGTCCGCCTGCATTTTAACCAATCAGATCACGATCCGAAAAAGCTCTTAATCTGATTGGCTAATTGAAGTGATCCGTTAATCCCACCAAGCTTGGAAGAGTTTTGGGTATAAGCCACATGTCACAGCGTAACTAATAAACTGCAACGGCAAAACAAAATAAACTCACGGGAAAATAAAGTTAATAACTCACGACAAAACGAAATTAACTCAGAGCAAAATAAAAAGTCACGGCAAAATAAAGTTAATTTTAATTAAGTTATTAACTTTATTCTGCCGTGACTTTTTATTTTGCTCTGAAACGGATTTAATTTCGTTTTGTCGCGAGTTAATTTTATTTTCCCGTGAATTTACTTTGTTTTGCCGTTGGCGTTGCAGTTAATTTGCCGTGGCTCAGTTACGTACCTTCGCTGTGAATAACTCGTAGTTCAATGGAGATCCCGCGCATTCTCGCAAATTCTTGTGGCGCCGCAATGAACCTAGTTAACTAGTGTTTGTTGAGAGCCAAAGGACATTACCACTGAAATGTTTCGCTCAGTGTGTGGCTTTTCTGGTGTCAAAGACCACAAATTTTGCTCAAAATGTGGAATAATATAATGCATATGTGTTTTTTAATACCAAAAATGTATAAAAAAAAACTGTCTGACAAAGGTGTATAAATGTAACCTCGATCATTCAACTAGTCAACTGTGTATAATATATATTTGTGATGTTTATAGAAAAAATATATTAATTTAAAGATCAGTCTTGAGGGGAGGTGCGCACCTTCCCTGATATTGTTTTGCACCTCCCCTGAGAATTTTTGCACCTCCCCTGAAAAGTCATGCACCTTGGGAAAGTTTTAATGATAGATCAAAGTGAAAATTCGACTTTTTTGGTTGCTTAGGGTCTACACTTCATAATTCATAAGAAAGTTTTTCTGTAAAATTGAAACAGTGATAACCATTCACCTTTGTGTCAAGTACCCTTTTGTAGTAATTGTATTGAAGGGCAAAATTGGATGATTTGTACAGTCATAATTCATTAATACACTGATACATATGCACACTGCATGCATACGTGAGGTCCAGCGTGAGGTCGTTGACGTTGGTCCGTTCTGAGCTCTAGCTTTCCATGGCGGTTGTGAGCTAGACCGTTGCACCTCCCCCCACTATTTGCACCAAAATCCGGCCTTGGTGGGAAGTGCTTCCAGTTTGACTTTACAACAGTTGCAAACTTCAGGTATGCCGATGGTTGTGATGAAATGATCGATATACTGTAATAGGGGTGCACCAGACGTTTTTTCCACACAATCAAGAAAGAATGTATTTCTTGCATTTAAGTTTGACACCTTCTAATTCTATGAGACTGACACCTTACGATACGTATTTTTTGTAACATATTAAACTTTCATATCATTGCTCTGAATTTCTGAATACGGAAATTTCGTGCCAACATAGTTGCTTGTGCTTGACGACAAAGCTTTGAAATCGAAAAAAATTCTTGGAGGAAAAATTCCCCTCCCAGGATATCTAATGGTCCACTCCTAGGTCTAGGAGCAATGCTATCGTTACAGTCATAAATCAAACACGATACAAGGTCAACAAAGTGTAATTAATATAGCTAATAATAATAAACTAATATTGTGCATATAATAAAGCCATTACAAAACAGACGCAAACAAAAATATCTGATACAAATAAATAAGCAATGCGCATAGTGGGAGAGTTTTTAGGATTAGGTTACAAAATAAACCCATAATGAGCAGTTGACAAATATGTTTGGTAAGGCACAAGACATAACAAATCATAGCCGCAGGACAAAATATTGTCTAAACTGTTAGTTCAACCATAGTTATATAAAAATTTCTATTAACTATGGTTCAACTTGACTCGAGGATTCGCCACTTATATTTAATGCTTTACTTACAAGCAGTTTTTTTCTGCAAACGGCAACACAATTTTGGGCACAGAGTTACGTTGTGTAAAAGAAATCGCCGAGAAATTTGTAATTATAGCCACTAATTAACATAAATACCGCAGATGTATGAAATAATTGAGAATTAAAAATGCCGATAGAAATTATTAAAAATTTCAGTGGAGTAAAAACATCGGCCATACTTACTAGATTCCCTGGGGTGCTGAAATTGTGATGCATAATCGAATACAGGCTCACTTTTGCTAGACATTATCACTAGGGCTTGCCATGCCATATATCGTAAACATAATAAACATAATCAGGGCGCAGTAAAACACTGTGCCATGACTCCAGTTTTACCGCGCTCTAATTCAAATACAGTGGCGACACTTTGCAAAATATTGGGAGGGGGGCGGGGGGGGGGGGATTAGGTTGCCAACTTATGACCATCTTCAGTAACAACTTTTTTTGCCTTAAATATCATGCAATATATAGATTCATTTTCAGCCTATCGATGTTTTCGTAGTTGAAAAACAGCTTTGTCACACAGTTATTCGGCATTTCTCTCATTCAAATATCCCTGCGGCTTGCCCCCTCCCACAGTGTTCGCCATTATTCAAATATAAAACAATTAAAAGGATGCAGGTAATCCTTGTAATTGCCAATAGGATTACCCTGCACAGTAGGAAGAGTTTTTATTTCCTTTCTATCAATGTTATGCGGAGCTACGTTGAAAATAGTCCATTGGAAGTTTTTTCAATTTCAGTAACTTACGCCTGTATTCTAAAAGCTCACTCACACTCAAAGAGTGGAGGTTCAATCTGAGCTTCCCTTGAGTGTCAGTGCAGTTTTTGAATAGCTGGAGGGTTAGTGTCGTACCTTACTATGTGACTACTCACCATCCAGCTATTCAAAAACAGCACTGACACTCAAGGGAAGCGGAGATTGAACCTCTACAGTGTAAGTGTGAGTGAGCTTTTAAAATACATGCATTAGCCTACAATGGTGTCCAGTTTCTCCCTCAGATGACATTGTCAATCGATCATCATTCTCAAGACTAGCAGTACAGCAAACGTATTGCGCGCTCCAGTCAATCGACTGTAAAACCTCAAAAACAACACATTGTGTTTTAATATCTATATCGTTTTGATCGGTCATCTTGTGAAGTCACGCACATATACCATTGCGTGATATACAGGAAACTTCACGAGTGTTTGTTATTATTCAACACCTCATCTCCCCCGGTATTTCCGCCGGTAAAAAAAGTCGCGGGACTGTGAGGCACCGAATCCGATGAACTAGAATACGAACCATCTCCCCTCGCAACCGCTTCAGAATTCGCCTTCCACTTCTTGCAACAAATGAGCTTATTGAAGGTCCTTTTCGATGCTTGGCGAAATTTGGGCAAGCGCCAGGCGTATACGATTGGGTTTATTACAAAATTCAACATCTCGATGGGAAAGAGAACGTCCATTGCTATGACCAATCTAGGATTCCATTCACATTTAGGACAAGATAAACTGTGCGCGAGTACATATTGTAGGATCACCATATAAGGCAGAACTGTTACCGCGAGTACAAGGATTAGCAGAAAAACCAAGTTCGTGATTCGCGATTCTTGGCGAACAGTGACTCTGTGTTGAAGTGCCGGCTCATTCTCTTCGATTTCAATTCTAAGGTTCGCGTTCTTTTTGTTGTAACGCGCAGCTGTGCGGAAACCTTCACGATCCAGTTTATTCACAGTGATGTAAATACGAATATAGCATCCAATGGTCGCGATCAGACTCACTTCAAACATTACTACCATTGTGCACTCAGCTATTCGCGGATTTACCGCAATCATTGAACCAGTCACGATAGAGATCACCCAAGCGACTGCGCAACAAGCACACGCAAAACGCCTCTTTACCATAGGTTGCGCTTTAACAGGATATACCACAACGAGTAGCCTTTCGACAGCCATACATGATAGAGTTAGATACGACACCGAAATTGTACTCCATAGTAGACAATGTAATGCCAGAACCAGTGCTCTAGGGTAGTACGAAATTGGGAATATAGCCCAAAGAAGTCCACCGATACCCGTAGCTAAATCGGCCACACACAGATTCGTCACAAAACAAGCTTCGGCTTTGGTGAATATTCTTGTAAAATTATTCAACATCACAATCAACGTTGCCGTATTTAGGAATATTCCAATGACTCCGATTACTCCAACAGCAATGCGGTCGGCCGTTGGTTCATTGTCGAATACATCGCTTATATTCTTCATTATATAATAAATGGAAAACGAACTCGCGCAATTGATTCTCACGCGCACGGGATAGCTAAACAACTGTTTGTATAAACGGAACTTTTATAGTTTTATGATATAGAGTGAGTGGTGTATTTCAGCGCTTATTAATCCCACACGGCTGTAGGGTTGTCAATAACTCGAGATTAGGACACGTGAATGATTTGATAAAAAACACACTATCAGATATGTTGATACACGAGATTATTGGGCCAGAATAAAGACCGCATTCTGCACTGCAGGAGAACTGAATCACTCTGCCATAATATTTTGTGCGACAATTAGCCTGGACTTGGATGAAGTCCGTCTCTCTAGAGTCGATCTGAGTCGCGACGAGGTCGAGCGCGCTCGATCCCTCGCATTCTAGAAAAGCCAAGTGTGACCAGATTTGGTAAAATATTTTACTTTTGGTAAAATGTCATCAATTTTGGAACAATTTTAGTAATTTTAGATTTGGTAAATTTTGAACACAAAGTTTAGTAATAAACGTTGGGAAAATCTGCTCGCACTGTATTCAGCTTATTTACTGTTAAAATACGGAAGAAAAGTGCTTGTAAAAATCCCTGGGAAAACGGATGTTCCGGCTGTAATTTCTTTGTGAATGTCTGATTCCAGCTATACTTATAGACTAAATTTTGATGCAGACAAGAATTTGAGTATTTTAGTATTTACTAAAATCACTCAAAATTTGCTAATTTCACAGGGCTATATTTTCCGTATTTTACAACATTTCGCAACCGAACTTTGCAATTTTGCTAATTTTAGGATGCACGTTTGAGCTATAATAGGGCAGCTCGATCTCTTCCGAAAATTAAGGCTATGTCTTAATTGTAAAAAGCGTTCAAATTAAGACATTGCATTGCCTTAATTTTAAACATAACCCCCAACCCCCCTAACCCCTAACGGCTAACCCTAATCCTAATGTAATCTTAGTCTAACCCTAATCCAATCCAAATCTGGCAACCTTTTTTTAATTTTTTTCTAAATAAGCCGCGGCTCAAATAAGTCGCGAACGACTCGTATAATCAGTCAATTTGCAATAAGTCGCGGCTAAAATAAGTCCAGGCTTGAAAGCTAGGCTTGAAAGCTAGGCTTGAAAGCGATGTTAAGCCGCGGCTTATTTAGGCCTCGACTTATTTTCGCTCGTATAAATGGCCCTAATGATATATGTCGTCTTTCTTGTCTCGGTAAAAAATTAGTCGATAGCTGGAATCAGTCATCCATTCATTACTGGTTCGGTCCACACCTCACAGTTCAGTTTTGCGTCATGCTCCACACTTCACAGTTCAGTTTTGCGTCATGCTCCACACTTCACAGTTCAGTTTTGCGTCATGCATGCCTATAAGCCGACACAGTATCAGTACCTTGCAACGTCTGAATTTTAATCCCCAATTACCGCGAGCTATTTTAAGCAAAACGATTTAGTTTTTGTGCGTTCTCGTGTTACAAATTAAAAAATAATATTTCATGGGTTTGATCATTTCAACACAAGCCATATGGAGCACAATTAACTCAATCGCTTGTTTGTTTACTTTATTATTTTAATGATTTTTAACTGCATATTTTGTACTGGGCGTATTCAAAGGTTACACAAATGTTACGTCTGGAAACATTCGCCACAAACCAAACTAGGGGGTAGGTAACCAAATGTACCAATGATTGATAGGATTTTTTAACCCTCATAGTCAGTCGTTAATAAGGAAGTTTAATAACTTGATTTCTTTTTTTATTTTTGCAAGGCTTCTTTTATTATGGGTGGACCATTATATACCCTGGGACGGGGGTGGAGGGGGTGAGAGATAAAAAAAAAATTCATGCATGGAGTTCAACTAGAAAGAAATTTGTGCAAGCACTTGGGGAAAGTGTATCTTTTCATATTATTTTCATACCAAGGCGAGATCTTGTAAACTTGTCGAAACGTTTTCTCGCTAACCGGGATAACTTTAGCCCATATGAACAGGCCCTTATAACTTGTGGTTGGAGATCCCGCGCCGATTCCCGCCATTCTGGTAGCACTGTAGTGCAGTGAACTTAGTGTTTGTTGAAAGTCAAAGGACATTTACCAAAATGTTTAAATATCTATTGTTGTTTATTGTCTTCATTTGTATTATATGTATGTATATAGTTTTCTTTTCAATATTTTCACGCCCCCCTTGGAAATCAGCTGTTGTTGAAGGGGTGAGCGTGAATAAATATAGTTTTAATAAATTCATAAAGAATACTCGCATCGCCGTTTCTCCCCTTCCCATAATTCCTCGCGCTTCCCCTTCATTAACATTTCACGCTTCGTAAATAAATTTTAAAATGTAAATTTGGGGATGAGGCAGGCTCTGGGGACGAGGCAGGCTGTTCTCTTTCAATAAAAGTATAATACTTACTCAGATATGCGTCAGGTCCGGAGGCTTAAAATTATTATTTGCACATTTAATTTTTTGCACATTTAATTTTTGGAGGAAACTATCACAGTGACTAGAGTATAGACAATAGCAGTGAAAACCAAATGGTTCAATATTTTCTACAAATATGGTGTATTTAATATTATAATAAATATTATAATTTGGACAAATCTGATCAGGAATATAGATGAAATTGAAGTTAGGAGATTCATTTATGAACTGTTAACTTGTGTCGATAATGAACTACCTGAAAACCCATGCAAATATTCAATTACTGTTTTTATAAGGGTATAAAAGAGAACTTCGGAGTTTCGAGCAAAGGTCCTTCATCTGGTTATAGCATGTTTTTCAGACCCATGCAGGGTCGTTCCTAGACGCGATAATTGGGTGGGGGAGGGCATATTCATATATTTGTGTTCTGCCAGACGGGTTTCTTTTGAAAGCAATTGTTTTTACGAAATGTGAACATGAATATATGAATATATTATACCTCAAATTCAAATTGTCCAATCAGGAAGCTTAGTTTGTGCCATGTGAGCATGAAATTAATCGCGATATCACGCCTTACGTCATCAATTAGCGAGCCTGCGTTCCTTATGACAATGTTCCACCCCATGTTCCCCGGGGAACATGGGGTGGAACATTATTCGCGTAGACCGCGCGAGACAACACGCATGACAAAAACATGGCCGACAAAATATAAATAGTATTGATGAGTGATGAATAATCAAATTTTAAACGTAAAACCTGGGCTTTTTCAAAATTTTGAAGCAAATTTTGAAAAAATGTTGTCATTAATATTCCAAACGATATGTAATTCGAAAGAAAATCGACGAATACTTGCGTTAATCCGAAAATAAAACATCGTATTCACGAAGGTATGTGTCAAGTTTTTAATTCTCAACTTGGAGGCTTTTAATTTTCGGTATAATATATCATTTATAGACCCTCCGCTAGGGGGATTCGGCGAAATATTACCCTCAGTGATGATATTTCCCTCGGC